TTCCTTTCCTTTGGTGTCCTTTAGTCCTTCTATTATGGGAACTAATGAAGAACTTTTCTTGATGCACCCTCTCCACCCCACTCATGCTTTTATAGACCTCTATCCTGTCCCCCCTCCATCTTCTCTTTTCTAAGCTGAAAAGTCCCAGTCTCTTTAGCCTCTCTTCATATGGGACCTGTTCCCAACCCCTGATCATTTTAGTTGCCCTCCCCTCTCCCAGCCTCTCTCTTCCCCTCTCCCACCTGCTTTTCCCAGTCTCCCCCAGTTTTGTTCAATAAAGACAGATTCCATTTTTGAACACAATTGTCCTTTATTTTGTACATCAAGAAGAGGGGCTAGGGAAGGGTAAGTGGAAGGCGGTGAGGGAGGAATGGGGCACGAGCCTCCGATGGGGAGGACTGGGCTGGCTCTGCGGGCTTTTGGGGTGGAAGCTCTCCTGCAGCCCCCCCGATTGCCCCCTCTCCCCAGATGACAGCCTGCGGCAAGTGCAGTCGGGCTGATGGCCGAGAGCTGTGATGTGCCCAGTGTGGGTGCTCTGGGCACTCCAAGCCAGGACTGCTTTGCAAGCGGGGCACCCCTGAGAACTGTCTGTCCGGGGTGGGGGTCGGGTCCCTTTAAGCGCAGCCCTCGGCTAGCCTGAGACAGCATCTCCACGCTCTAAGTCCTCCTCTGATGCCCTGCTGGTACTGCTTCCGGCCATCCTTAAGCCTGGTTCAGGGTCCACTTAATGTGGACATGCTGGTTCGAATTAGCAAAACGCTAATTCGAACTCGTTTTTTAGTCTGGATCCGTTAGTTCGAATTAGCTTAGTTCGAATTAACTAATTCGAACTAAGTTAGTTTGAATTAACGTTGTAGTGTAGACGTACCCTCAGAGAGTTCAGATAGGGTCCGAGCAATACACTGGCCAAACACAAGATGCATCTCAGCCACAGCTCCTGGCTCACTCAAAGGGAAGATCCCCACCTCTTAGCAGCAGCTGCCCCATAACTCCAGTCTCCATAGCTGTCACAGGTGTCCTGTTGGGCTCTTCTGCTTCATTTCTCCAGCCAGGAAGGATTTGCCAGCAGGTAAGATGATCTCTTGCTGAGCAATTGTGTGTTCCCAGATGGTATTTTCTCTTCTTTAAAAAAATAAATTAAAATATATTAGAAAGGCAGATTTCTCCACAGTTTTGCTCTGTACATGAATTTTGGCACTTCTGCTCAGCAGACCTTTTATTTATTGGTATTTGACTTCTAGCTGCAAAGCACCCTTCCAAAGCCCTGGATGCCACAAATGCATTCACCAAGGTAATACAACAGACCAGACCAAGAAAAATATAATTACAGCCAGCATCATGATTTAAAAAATAAAACAACTTTACCCTTGAAAGCAAGCCCTCATTAGAGTCTTCCCATTAACTTGAATGGGCTTTGGCTCAGATCCTAAATACCCGAGAAAACATATGGACTGAAATGCTGGCTCCACTGACAGTGTCAGCAGTCCATTCATGGGCTCTGCAAAATGTCCAGAGCCACAAACTTCTATTCATGGTAGAGCAAACCATCACATGTGTGTGTGTGCGTGTCTCACACACAGAGTGCTGGAGACTATTGGAATGGTGGGGTTCAGAATGGAACAGGAACAAGAGGGCTTGGAATGGTGCAGGATAATGGAGACAAAGGTTGCTGGAATGAAATGGGAACCACAGCTGGCGACATGGATGTAGAATTATTGTGATGAGAGTCTGAGGTGTGTGGAGTATCATGATGGAGAACTGGAAAGTGGGGGTGGGTGGGAATCAAGCCCTAAGGTATGTGGAGTGTCATGATGAAAGAGCACTGGGGTAGGAATGCGAGGGCAGGAGTGGAAATGGGACTGGGGCTATGTCTAGACTGCAGACTTCTTTCGGAAGAAGCTTTTCTGGAAAAACTTTCGAAAGAGAGAGTCCACACAGCAAAAGTGCATCGAAAAAGCAATCTGCTTTTTCGAAAGGGCATCCACATTGGACGCTATCTTGTATTTAATTTCTGATTGCTGTGGATGGAGTAGCCACCAGAGCTCCTGTGCTTTTTCCCGGAGGCCTCGTCTTTCGAAAAAAGACTCTCTCTTCCCAGTCCCCACACACCTTTTTTCAAAAGAGCTCTTTCAAAATGGCTTCTTTCTCGTAGAAAGAGGTTTACTGCTGTTGGAAAACCCCCTGCGTTTTCGACTTTCTGTCAAAAGAACGCAATTGCACTGTGGTTATAAGTGTAGTTTTTCCTGAAAAACAACCGTTTTTCCAGAAAAACTCTACAGTGTAGACATACCCTGGGTGCTAGAACGTGTACTGTGCACTTCTTCAAGAGGGTAATGGATGCCATGGCGATCCAGGTTCGTGGCCAATCTGAACTGGGCCACGCTGAACCACAAACCCCGTTGCATTGGGGTTACGGGTAAGAACACAGGCATTCAGGAGCAGACTGCGCTGACCTAGTGTCAGGCTGTCACCCTCCCAATGGGAGGCGATTCTCCCCCTCAAAGGGTTCTTATGGCTATTTATGCTATGTGGTACATTGCTGTATTACCCTGACCCAGACGGAGACAAGTGGACACCCTGCACCGTGAGCATTACCTTTAGCTTTCATAGCTGCAAGTGTTAACTATGGTCATAAAGACCTTTTAAAAATCAATCCTCAGCAGTTCACTTACTAATCTCCAGTCATGGTGACTTCCACACACAGCCCATATGCTGTGTGAACACTCCTTTTGCAGGTTCAAATTGAACCGGTCTTTGATTTCACAGGCTGGAGCCTTTGTTCTCATTTTATGAAGCAGAATATAAAGAAGGGACTGACTGATCAGCTTTTGTGTCCCCCTACCTCCCCGCCCCAGTGAATGCCCAGTCATTTCCCTGCCTTTTCCCTTCTCACCCCCACAAAGGGACAGCTCTCTGGTGTTCCTCTGGTTATACCAGAACTCAAGTATCACAGGCACAGTGGATTCCAGGGGGAGGGAGAACTAATGAACTCCAGGGATGCTCTGAATTATCTCACTTAGAGACAGCTGATGCATCAGCTGAAGGATTCCCTTAGATCAGCAGCTTTTTGGCTACGGCAGGGACTGTAGGAAATTCATTCCTAAGGCAGTAAGTCCATTTAAAGGAAAGGAGAACACCAACAGGTGGCTGTGAGAACACTTCCGGCTTCTCTGTTACCGGGTGCATTTGAAACCTTGGTCTGGAATTATTTGAGGAACTTGTTCCCCGAATCATACAGCTGTCATTGAACATTGGTCTGCAGCTGTAACATTATTAGAGCTGAGTGAATAACTGATTATTTCCCTCCATTTGGGCTAGCAATTTGAAAAAAAAAGTCATTTGGGGTCAAAAAATATTTTGTTTGACTCCAAAGACGTTTTTGTAAAAAGCAAACAAACAAATGTAGTTGATCTAGCTAGTTCCAAAAATGTCAAAATGAACCAATTAGTCTTCTGGACTCCCTCCCTGCCCTCAATCTTTTGTTCAACCAAACTCTTCTCTAAATTTGATCCAAATTTGCAAATAATTAGTTCCTCCAGGAGTATTTAATAATTAGTTACCCCAATGGTATTTTTTTAAATTTGCTACTCATCTGAAAATTGTCACTTGGCTCCAGATGTGACCCCAGAATCTATTTCTTCCTCAGGTTCTACATGGACATGTGGAAACTCTTCCCAATGGCAATACTGGCAGCCAGCAGTGAGTACTGGAAACCCCACACTCCCATCCATCTCCAGAGGCAGGCCAACTGGCATTAATCAGCCAAGTGACCACCATCTTGCCAAGGAACTACAGCGTGGCCCAAGCTAAGGGTTCATATTCTGAAGGCTCCACAGATCAGTCCTGGGTTAGGCCCACTAGTGAACTCCAGATCTGCACTAGGCTTTCATACCTGCCCACAATTCAGGGCTCCCAGCGGGGGAACAGAGGTTCTGGCCCCTCTTTATACAAAAATTGTGGAAAAAACACTGCTGAGCCATCTGCTGGGGTTAAGGGTCAGAGCCACTTTACAAGAAGTGGTCTGACATGATGTTTTCCTCCCCTCTTTGCACTAGTGCCTGTCACTAGAGATGCTCTTTTCTTCTACTGCAGTGTTTCTCAACCTTTTTTTTTTTTTTTAATAAAATATCCCTTTAAATATCTATATATAAGTACCCCCAATACCTACAGTTTTCGGACATTTTTTTTCTACCATTGCAACACATTTGTTTAAACAACTTAATTGTAGCTGGGCGGGTGATGAAATTTGTGGGTGTAAAAAGTACAAAAATAATAAAACGCTGAAGTTTTCTCCAAATTTCAGTTGTGTCAACATCCCCCCCCCCCAGACTTCTCTCAAGTACCCCAAGGGTTCTCGTACCACTGGTTGAGAAACACTGTGCTAGGTGATGTCATAGTCATCCGATGCCTTGACTGTGTCATGTCTGATGAGGTTAGCTTGTTTGTACCACGTACAGCAGAGAGCATCACAGACCCCCAGAACACGCTCATCTATTTACAGCTCAGCTCCCCATATTCTCCAGGGCTTCTGTTTGAGTCACAGCTGCTGTTAGCTTCTGAACTGCCCTTCATTCACCTCTTTGACATCATGAGACTATTTCAATGTCAGACAGAACACATGCCAGGGCAGATGGCCTGCTTATATAGACCCTATTGCCCTGGTATCCAAGGGTCTCTATCCTTCCATGTGAGGAAGGCAAGAACTTTGACCACCCTAACACAGACAGGGAACTGATGCAGAGAGAGTAAGGCCTGAATGCACAAGAGGCATCAGGTTCCTAGGATAAACCACTACGATACACAGAGCTTGAGTTAGACACTTAAGGTGTGTCTAGACCAGTGGCCCCCAACTTTTTGGGGCTGCCAGGTGCCCGGGGGCGGGGCTGCTCACATGCTAGGCACCCAGGGTGGGGCCACACACGCACTAGGGAGTGGGGCCGTACGCCTGGGTCTGGCGTCACTCATACACATGCCCAGGGCCGGAACAGCCCATGTGCTGCGTGCCCAGGGCCGGCGCTGCTCCTGAGCCACCAGCCCAGGAACCGGCAGCACCCATGCACCGTGCACCCGGGGCCGGCGCCGCTCCTGAGCCATGAGCCCGGGGCCGGCACAGCCCATGCGCCATGCACCTGGGGGTGGGGCCGCCCATACGCCGCGCGTCCAGGGGCCCGCACAGCCCTTGCACCGTGCGCCTAGGGGCGGGGCGGCCCCGATCACTTGGTGGGCGCACAGAAATGGCCCTTCACTAGACTCTGCCATGCTCCTCACTCCCCCGCTGGGAGTCCCTGCCGGGCTTCCGTCCCAGGGAAACAGGAAATACCAGACATTTCACATGTCCCGTATTTCCTGTTTTTTTTTTTTTTACCGGACGGAGCCCACAAATAGTGGACTGTCTGGGTGAAAACCAGACACCTGGCAACCCTAGGTGCTAAGCCCCACACCACTCACAGGGATAAGGGCACTCACACAAAATGTGAGAGACTAGGGTCATCCTTAGAGGGGTGTGGGGCCCTGGACAACCCTCCCCCATGCTCTACCCTTTGCTGTCCTCCTTGTACCCCCCTCCCTAAAACCCTGCACCCCTAGCTATGTGACCTGGGGGGATTACCTTGGGGCCTAGCATGGGGTGGTAGCTGAGTTTCCCCCACTCTGTACTCACTCACTGTGGCAGCAGGAGCTGAGGAATTGGTGTCACCCAGCAGCTTGTGCTGCTCCACCGCCCTCTCCCAACCAGCTCACTCTGCTTCACTGGGGGGTGGCGGGAAGCAACGTGCCCTGGCCCACCCTCCTCCGCTCACCCGAGCGACGCAGAGCTCGGTGGAGCAGAGCACAGAGGGCAGGGCCCGGGGTGCTCCCATTCCTGCCGCCATAGTGAAGTGGAATGACCCAGCAGGGAGAGGGCAGCGTAGCAGGCTGCTGTGTGCTTCGCTCTGCTTCCCGGGCTTCTGCTGCCAGGCTGAGTACCAGGGGCCAACCCCTGCTGCTGCCCTGTGCCACTCCAGCCTCAGGTAATCCCCCAGGCTGCCCTGGGCCCTGTAAACAGTCCCCCATATGAACGGGGGGGGGCTGTTCTGTCTCTAGGAGAGTTGAGGCAGCTTCCATGAGGCCCCCCAAAGCCTAGCGCTTGGGGCGACCACCCCGATCCGTCCTATGGACTGGACGGCTTTGGAGAGACCCAGGATCTAGTCTCTTTGCTTTAATGACTCGTCCGTTATCCAGTGTGCAACATTTTCAGCCGGAGCAATTGAGGGATTCCCCATATCCCCATGATCGGAGCAACTGCCTGAGAGGTGGCAGATCCCTATTCAAATCCCTTCTTTTTCCTCAGGGGAGCATCCTGGCCAAAAGTTACAAGGCATTTGGTTGCCAGTGTCATTCTTGTGTGAACTTGCCTGAGGGGCCTGCTTTGAGCACCCCTAGTGGATCAGGCACCATGTGCAAGTTAGGTGACTGAGTGGCTGAGAATTGCTCTGGGGCTTAGGTAGGAGATGAGGATCTAGCCCTCCAGGGAAGCCTCAGTGCACATGCTCACAGGCACGGAGAGAACTTATACAAAAATAACCTCTGAAACAGCCGATTTCAGCATGAGTTTTGTACATCACAGTGGCCATAAATGCCCAAACCCTGGTCCCATCTCCTTTTGCATATTCAGCTCTAAATGACTTGTTCGTTTCAGTTCCTGTAGCAGAACAGGAAATGAACTTGTATCTCCTGAATCCCTGGAAGAGGCTGATCACTAGCCTGCCTTTCCTCTGTGTTCTAGGATACAGCAGCAATAGCACCACAGTCCCCACTCAGCTGGGCTGTGTCTACACTGGGCCACTTATTCTGGAAAAGCAGCCGCTTTTCCGGAATAAGCTGCGAGCTGTCTACACTGGCCCCTTGAATTTCCGGAAAAGCAGTGACGATTTACTGTAAGGCTGTGTCTACACTGGCCCCTTCTTCGGAAGAGGCATGCTAATTTCGAACTTTGGAATAGGGAAATCCGCGGGGGATTTAAATATCCCCCGCGGGATTTAAATAAACATGGCCGCCGCTTTTTTTCCGGCTTGGGGAAAAGCCGGAAAAGAGCGTCCAGACTGGCGCGATCCTCCGGAATAAAGCCCTTTTCTGGAGGATCTCTTATTCCTACTTCAGCTGCTTTTCCGGAAAAACTATGCTGCTCCTGCTCGGGCAAAAGTCCTTTTTCCGGAAAACTGTTCCGGAAAAGGGCCAGTGTAGACAGCACAGTAGTGTTTTCCGCAAAAAAGCCCCGATCGCGAAAATGACGATCGGGGCTTTTTTCCGGAAAAGCGCATCTACATTGGCCGCGGACGCTTTTCCGGAAAAAGAGCTTTTCCGGAAAAGCATCCTGCCAATGTAGACGCTCTTTTTCCGGAAATACTTCTAACGGAAAACTGTTCCGTTTTAAGCATTTCCGGAAAAAGATGCCAGTGTAGACACAGCCCTATAGTCTACGCTAGGGTGTTATTTCAAAATAGGCTGAATTTATAAGTGGAGCACTCACACTACCAAGCCCGTAGAATAGTGATAGAAATGTAGCCATGTTACTCTGGTGTAGCTGAAACAAAATACAGGATGATGTAGCACTTTAAAGACTAATAAACCATCTTGTTAGATGATGTGCTTTCGTGGGCCAGACCCACTTCCTCAGATCAAAACCTGATCTGAGGAAGTGGGTCTGGCCCACGAAAGCTCATCATCTAATAAACCATCTTGTTAGTCTTTAAAGTGCTACATCAACCTGTATTTTGTTTCAACTACCAAGCCCGTTATTTCTAAATCAGTGGCCCTTTATTTTGAAATCTGTACTCCTTGCTTTCTTCAGGGAATAAGACTAATTTTGAAATCATTATTTCAAAATAGTGGTAGTGTGGGCACTCCAGTGCCATTATTTCAAAATAACTATTCCCCAGAGTAATTCAAGTTAATTACGCACCAGTGCTTCTTGAGGCACCAAGTCAAAGTAGCACGCCCACATTAACGGAGCCTGCCTCGGACTAATTTCGAGACTCCCGTTTGATTTTGTAAAATCAGGACTTAAGTCACATTTCGATACTTTGAACTAGTTTCCTAGTATAGACATGGCCTGAGCGATTTTGGCCTCCCTCCATGTCAGTGAGGAACTGGGGGAAAGGATTCGTCTGGAAAGCAAAAATATCACCTTAAAAAGTCCTCAGAAGCCCCTTCTGCTCTTTTGCAGTTTTGACCACGACTCTCAGCAGCCTCCTTGATTTCAAACTCATGATCCGGACAGTTACTAGGAAAAGTGCTCTCCTTTCCTACAATGGGTATGGATGCCACTGTGGACTGGGTGGGAGAGGGCAGCCTCTGGATAAGACTGACTGGTAAGTTTTGATTCATGGCGGGGCTGCTGGTATCAATAGTTGCATCCATTATTATTAATCCTGGCATGAATACTAATTTTAGTAATGCACTGATTTTGTTAACTGAGCTTGAAAACTCTCATCTAAAATCTAGGTTTGCAGTTGCACTAAGCCCTTTACAGGTGCCATGTGTCAATTCTCCAGCTTATTGTGAGAATGGAAAAACTTTTGTAGTGAAGGCACACAGGGCTAATTCACCCCCCACAATCTTTAAAGGGCCAGTACAGTTGTGTGATTAGTATGTATTGGTATTCTACCACAAGGGGGTCCTAATTCAGGATGGGCTCCTTTGTGCTAGGTGCTGTATAGTACGTACATATGTAACCCTTCTGCCAGGCCAAGTAAATAGCAGCAAGGGCCGGGTTCAGTATCTAGGGGTCTCCTCCCAACAAGGTAATACAACACTGGCTCGAGCTCCCACCCAGTGACCTGGGAAATCTTACATACAGAGGCAATTCTTCCTCTCTCGCAAGCACAGAGCCTCAGTATAGTAGCAAACCTTTAATAACATGAGGTAATCGACATCAGCATTAAATTGGGGAAACACCACAACTTGGATTTACAGACCAAACATGAGCAAAGGGCCTCCCCCCTGCCACAAATCCCCCCCAAAGTCCTAAAAGTCCAACACCCCAAAAGTCTCTGCCCCGGGTTCCACCCCAGGGTTCAAAAGTTCACCCGGCAGGGTTTCACCATCCCAACCTGGAGTGGCGGTGAGCCCCAGGGTTCAAAAGTTCACCTGATCGATACACCGTGATCCTGGAGCGGTGGGGGGGATCGATACAGATGGCTCCTGGTACCGAGCTCTGTTCCGCTGCCGCTTCTGCTCCGTTTCTGCTCCACTTCTGCCGCAGGTCAGGTCATCCCCATCAGCCACTCTGCTCCAATTCTGCCGCAGGTCAGGTCATCCCCATCAGCCACTCTGCTGTCCGCCTGCACTTGCTGGTTGTCCCTTGCAAGCTGCTCTGCTAATAGCCCAGCAGCTTAGTACCAGGCTCCCCGCACCACACAGTGATTTCAGCTCTCACCAGGTTTCCCCACAGCACACAATGATTCCAGCTCATAACTGAGGAGCCTTAGCACTAGTGCTATGCCGTGTTAGTCTGAATCTGCAGAAGCGATGAGGAGTCCTGTGGCACCTTATAGACTAACTGAAGTGTAGGAGCATAAGCTTTCGTGGGCAAAGACCCACTTCGTCAGATGCATGTAGTGGAAATTTCCAGAGGCAGGAATAAATATGCAGGCCAGGATCAGGCTGGAGATGACCAGGTGGATCCAATCAAGGAGGATGAGGCCCACTTCTAGCAGCTGATCTGGAGGTGTGAATTCCAAGAGAATAGAAGCTGCTTTTGTAGTTAGCAAGCCATTCACAGTCTTTGTTTAATCCAGAGTTGATTGTGTCAAACTTAAAGATGAACTGTAGCTCAGCAGTTTCTCTTTGAAGTCTGGTCCTGAAGTTTTTTTGCTGCAGGATGGCTACTTTTAGATCTGCAATTGTGTGTCCAGGAAGATTGAAGTGTTCCCCTACAGGTTTTTGTATGTTGCCATTCCTAATATCAGATTTGTGTCCATTGATTCTTTTACGTAGGGACTGTCCTGTTTGGCCGATGTATATAGCAGTGGGGCATTGTTGGCACATGATGGCATATATTACGTTGGTGGATGTGCAGGAGAATGTACCAGTGACAGTATGGCTGGTCTGGTTAGGTCCTGTGATGGTGTTGCTGGTGTATATATGTGGGCAGAGTTGGCACCGAGGTTTGTTGCAAGGATTGGTTCCTGAGTTCGAGTTATTATGGTGCGGTGTGTAGTTGCTGGTGAGAATATGCTTCAGGTTGGCGGGTTGTCTGTGGGCAAGGACCGGCCTACCTCCCAAGGCCTGTGAGAGCGAGGGGTCATTGTCCAGGATGGGCTGAAGATCACTAATGATGCGTTGGAGAGGTTTTAGCTGGGGACTGTAGGTGATGGCCAGTGGTGTTCTGTTGGTTTCTTTCTTGGGCTTGTCCCGTAGCAGGAGGCTTCTGGGTACACGTCTGGCTCTGTCAATCTGTCTCCTCACTTCCTCGTGTGGGTATCGCAGTTTACAGAATGCTTGTTGAAGGTCTTGTAGGTGTAGGTCTCTGTCTGAGGGGTTGGAGCATATGCGGTTGTACCTCAGTGCTTGGCTGTAAACAATGGATCGTGTGGTGTGTCCGGGATGGAAACTGGAGGCATGCAGGTAAGTATAGCGGTCGGTAGGTTTTCTGTATAGGGTGGTATTGATATGACCGTCACTTATTTGTATCGTGGTGTCCAGGAAATGGACCTCCCGTGTAGATTGGTCCATGCTGAGGTTGATGGTGGGGTGGAAGCTGTTGAAATCATGGTGAAATTCTTCCAGAGTCTCCTTCCCATGGGTCCAGATGATGAAGATGTCATCGATGTAGCGTAGGTAGAGAAGGGGTGTAAGTGGACGAGAGCTGAGGAAGCGTTGTTCCAGGTCAGCCATAAAAATGTTGGCGTATTGTGGGGCCATGCGGGTGCCCATAGCAGTGCCACTGGTCTGGAGGTATATGTTGTCACCAAATCTGAAATAGTTGTGTGTGAGGATAAATTCACAGAGTTCAGCCACCAGTTGTGCTGTGGCATCATCAGGAATACTGTTCCTGACAGCTTGTACTCCATCTGCATGTGGGATGTTTGTGTAGAGAGCCTCTACATCCATGGTGGCTAGGATGGTGTTTTCTGGAAGATCACCTATGCATTGTAGTTTTCTCAGGAAATCCGTAGTGTCACGAAGGTAACTGGGAGTGCTGGTGGCATAGGGTCTGATATTCCACACTGGAGCAATGAGGAGGTGCAATCAGTGTTGTTCAAGCCCACAGACAAGGTCCACCCTCTTTCTCAGGAAATCCGTAGTGTCACGAAGGTAACTGGGAGTGCTGGTGGCATAGGGTCTGATATTCCACACTGGAGCAATGAGGAGGTGCAATCAGTGTTGTTCAAGCCCACAGACAAGGTCCACCCTCTTTCAATTTGACTTGGTTTGGAACCCATGCCCCTTGTCTAGCAAGTGCTACTTAGTTTATGACGAATCCCTCTGTCATAAACAGTTCCACCATTCCATTGTCCTTGATTTGCCTAATCAGGGTAACAACACTTTTATCCCCCCTGCCTCAATAACAGAGAGACTGGGGATCCCACAGTGGCCAAAGTGACCATTTGGGCTGCTGTGAGCACATACTAGACAGGGTGGGTGTGTCCATGCAAATTTGGCTCAGCCCCTGAAGCCTCTTTGCACCAGTTGCCACAGTTCACCACCAGATGTCAGGATAGAGTTTACCCTGACCCCGCTCACACATAGAACAGAGTCAGGGTATGTCTACACTACCCCGCTAGTTCGAACTAGCGGGGTAGTGTAGACATACCCCAACTCTCATTCTCACGCCCCCATTTTCCTAATCTCCTGTCCTATAGCCCATCTCCAAGGCCCTGCCCTGACTCCTTCACCCCCACACAACGTGCACCCTGCCCTGAAGGACCTAGGCAATGCTGGCTAAGTCTTATAATCCAAAATATTTTTTTTAGGTTTTTCCTTAACTAAAATCATAAAACCTGACATGCATACATTGGAATATCTAGTGGTTTCTCAAGATACAGGATTACTAAATGGAAAAAGGAAAAGGCAGTTCTGTTTAGGAGCTTATCCTGTTTAGCATGTCATATTTGTGTTGCATATATACAGACATTAAAATAATCTTAAATCATAGATTCTCCTGGGGAATGGAATGTAACTGTACTACACAATGGTACACGGGAAATTCAAATCCCGGGCTTCATTAGCAAGTGCGGTATGCATACATTACCCCGCTAGTTCGAACTAGCGGGGTAGTGTAGACATACCCTCAGGCCCTGCCCCCAGGGAGTTGTCAGTCTAATGGATTTTTGGTTCACTGTCTTCCCCCCAAAAATGCATATACTATCACCTTAGCCTACCTTCTACCCCAGAACTTTAAAAAAAATCAAAACAAATGTTTTCAGTTGAGCTAGTGTTTTGTTTGCATTTGATTTTGGGCACTTTAAGGTTTTTTTTTAATTAAAGGAAATTTTAAAACAATTATGAATAAAAAAAATCAGAACAGTTTGTTTTGAAGTGAAATATTTGAGTTTTTCCTAAACAGCTTTGAAGGCTCTACCCCAACTGAAGCTATTCAGCAAATCCAACAGGAATTCACAGAATGTTCCAATTAACTCATATTTGCATTTATTGCTGAAAAGAAATTTTGTTCCAAAAGTTTCACCCAGCTCTGGACAAGAACTGGATTTGAGGCACAGAGCAGAGCTAAAAACATCAGTTGGGATAAACATCTGGGCTGCTGGGTGCTCTTCCAAAACAAGACTCCCCCACCACTCTCCCCTCAAGTAGGCATTACATCACCTGATTACCTTTTCCTCTCTTATTCCTGTGTTTGTCTCCTTGAAGGTGCTGTCATGCCCATGATTGCTGCTATAACAAGTTAAACCCAAGCTGTCATCCATATTTTGATCTTTATCAATACTCCATCATCAATGAAGACATTATCTGCTGTGAGTAGCATTCTCTGTGCGGCTGAATTGGCCGTGGATGTCTTGTTCACTTGCTTGAAACTTTTACAGTGACATTGTTTCTCTAGGAAATATTTGTTCCAGAGAGTCTTTTGGGAAAAAGCAAAACACTTAAAGGACAGCTAATTTTGGGATGGAGGAGGGGGAGGAAGGAGTCGGTGAAGTATTTCATGTCCTTCTGGTTCCTCCTCACCAACCCCTTATCACAACAGGTTATGATACCTCCAAGGCAATTAGGATCCTGCAATGAGAGTGGAAGGACGATGGTAAGGGACCAGTGAGCTGGGATGACTGAGCCAGTTCCACTACAGGCAGCTGTGATGGATCAGCAGTGCTGTTCAGTTCCACTGTCTCATCTGTATTTACACTTAGAGAGTGTAACATGTTGCCATTCTGATTTGTTAGCATTTTATACCCACAACACCCAAGTGAGAGTGATGGGTCTCGGCTAACACACTGGAAACTGAGCCAGGGACCTCCTGAGCAGACACATGAGCTGCTACAGCTTGAGCTAAAGCTCTGTAGCCAGGGCAGTAACACAGACTCTGGGGACTACAGCAGGAGGGAGGGGGAGGCAGGAGACTATAACTCTCACTAACCAGTGGGCTACACAAGTCCAGGGAGAATCGGCTGATCTGGAAATACACTGAAGCTGGCAACAGAGCCACAGATCCCATGCCGATGGTACCAGTGCAGTGGTCCCATCTGCTGCCATGCCAACAGCAGTGTCACAACGTTCTAGGCACCATTACAGTAACTGGGCTCCTGTTTTGCTGAACGTCATTCATACCTCTGAAGTGCTGAAGGCCAGCAGAGGAATAAGCTACTCAATGCTTGCTTCTCATGGGGTTCCTTTGCCTTTGAGTTACCACAAGGGAGTAACTAAACACTTTTATTCCTGCAGGGAATATAAATAACTCCACATGCGCAAAGGAAGCCTGTGAATGCGACCGGACAGCAGCCCTGTGTTTCAGAAAGGAAGCAAGCTCCTATAATAAAGCATACCGTTATTACATCAATTTATTCTGCAATGGGTCTACCCCCAGTTGCTAAATAAAGTTTAACTTGCCAGCTGGCTATACAACAGATTGCAAAGCGCAGATGTTTCCTCTTTCCAGAGTTCTCTACTCTAGTCCCTTCCCCAATCCCTCAAAGAAAGCATCAAGCTACCAAGGAGGCAATCTTTTCCTGGGGATGGCTAAGATGATAGAAGGAGTTGGATTTATGCACCTTGTCTATGGGGGTATTCAGGCAGGGTTTTAGTGACCTGTTCAGTTCATTTCTATTCACCTAATCAAACTCTGAGGAACAGTACTTTGAGGACCAACTCTACTAGTACTGTCACTTCTTTGGCTCTCAAAAAGGGAGGCAGACAGATCACCAAGCAGCCACGTTTAAAGTGTAGGCCAGATCCTCAACTGCTGTAAATCAGACCCTGGCAAGTGACTAGCATCCACCTACTGTAAAAAAAGGTGAACTTCTCCCCAGCCAAAGTCACAGCCCATCTGAGATGGTGGAAAAATCCTTTTTAATGCTCCATATTGTTCTTCTTAGACCAATAGCATGTGAGCTAGCACCAGTCAACCAGGCACCTAAGAAAGCACAATTGCTTGGTGTTACCTGAGAGCCTTATGTCAAAACTTCCCAAAGCCCCATCTCTAGTAGGACTGCCAACTATGACTGAAGCTATCCCAGGAGATTTCTCCACATTTCTCCCCCCTCCATATGATATAATGTCATTTTTTTAAAATAGGGTGACCACATTTCCCTATGCTGAATATAGGACTCCTGGTAAAATTACTCATATCCAAGCAAGTTCAGTGGTAATCAATCAGAACTACGCAGTACAAAAAAGTTTAAATTCACATCGGGTTGACTGAGCCCCTGTTAAAAAAAAATACTGCATAGTTGGAGTCTTTTGATTTACCTTCGTAACGTTCAGATTTGTAGGTGGCGAGGTGACACACATACACATTCCCATACACCTCTCTCACAGGAATGGGGGTGACTGTAAAGACAGTGGTAAGCAATTCTACCTGGGGACCTACAGGGTCAGGGTGCAAACAGGCTGGGAATAGCTTCCTCCCAACCACTCAAAGATACGCTTAGCGAAGTTTTCCCAAATCAGCACTATGTGAAGCTATGGCAAATACAGGGCTTGGATCCTCCTAGCCAGCACCTTAGGGGAATTGGTTTTGAACTTTCCCTGGGTTCCAGCTTAATCAGAGGTAGCGGGGGAAGGAAGGAGCCTGCCAGCCTGGCTGTTGATGATCTGAATGATCTGACTAGGGCTGGTTCTCCTCACAGGTCTGGGAGCAGGACATACCCCGCTGCAGGGGATATGGAGGAGCAGTGGGGCTTTGAGGGGTGTGAGAGGCACAGCAGGGAGAGGACAATGACAGGGGAAGCATATGAAAGATCTATTTATAGGCAACAGAGGTGACACACAACCAGCCATGGCCTGCCTTGCACCACAGCCACCACAGCAGCCAGTGCTGGCTGGAAACAGAGCAGGCAGGGGGTAAGTCTGCTGACCAAGAGCTGGCACACAGCAGGGACCAAAAGGCAGAGTGGCCAACCCCGCACACTGCAGCTTTTCTCAATCACTAGCCTTCCACATACATACCCATCATCACCCACTGGATCCCTCCACTCACCACTGGTGGGAGATTAGCTTGCGAGCTGGGATTCAGCCAACAGTAGGACCCACCAGTACCGATGGAAGTGGTGAGACAGAAAATATGGGACAATTTGCCCATTTTTAAAAACAAGTAGGAGCACCTCAATGAGGGCTTAAAAACAGGACATCTGGTCACCTTATCTTAAAATATCCTGTTAAAATCTACCAGATTGCTTTGAATTGTCATGGGAAATCTGTGCCAATTCTAGGGAAACTCCTGGCCAATGCTGTGCTTTCATATATTTGTCCCTGCCTCTGTAATTTCCACACCATTTCATCTGGTGAAGTGGGTTTTACACATGAAAGTTTGTGTCCTAACAAATCTTTTCATCTCCAAGTTGAAAGACTTGCTCCTCCTTGCTCCAGCAAAATGTTTAAGTTGCATGAGTAGCATCACACAGAAACTCCATGGCAGAGGCAGAAATTGAATCCAGTTCTCCAGCATTCAAGTAGAACCAGTGGTTTTTTTGTGATGGTACTGCCCGGTATTCAGTAGTAGCACTCCACTGCTGATCTCATTTTGTGCCTTTGCCTCTCCCCCCAGCTTTCTGCATTCCCATGTTGCTTGCCTATATTCATCCTTTGTTATTTGTCCTTGTTTCCATTTTTTATATGACTCCTTTTTCAGTTTGAGATCGTGCAAGATCTCCTTGTTAAGCCAAGCTGGTCTTTTGCCATATTTTCTAGTTTTCCTACACAGCAGAATTGTTTGCTTTTGGGCCTTTAACAACGTCCCTTTGAAATACTTCCAACTCTCCTCAGTTGTTTTTCCCCTCAGTCAAGACCCATTTAACAGGCAAAGCCCAAAGCCTCCCTTGTAGAAACTGTCCCAGCCAGCTGTGAGAGAAACAAAACCAGGCCTGGGACCCTTCTCAACCCAAATCCAACCCCTGTATTTTCCCCATCCCCAGGTACGGACCCTGCATTCAGAATGGCTTTGCTTGAACCCCGATTACTGACGCCAACGGTCACTCAAGGGTTTGGTTTTCTTATCAATGAGACATAAAAGAATCACAGTCACCCTAATGCAGGGGTGAGCCAAATGCGGCCCACAGGCCGGATTCAGCCCCCCAAGCAATTGTATCTGGCTCGTGTGAGCCTCAGCCAGGCTCCCTGCCTCTCCAGCCCTTGCATGCTCCTCAGACTGCTGTGAGCACCTGGGGAAAGGCTTCACATGCTGCCCTTATCCCCAGCACAATCTGGCAGCTCCCATTGGTCACTTTCCGGACAATAGGAGCTGCTTGTTTGCAGGACAGGCAGCATGCAAAGTACCAATCCGCCTCCAGGCTCGCATCATTCAGAGCAGCACATGGCTCCTGCCGACTGCTCTGAGTGGCCTGTGGGCACATGGAAGGCAGGAAGTTCAGCTGAGGAACCTGGTGGGCTGGTGGCCAGGAGCCATCCAGGTAAATGCCTCCCGGTCAGAGCCTGCATCTGACACCCCAGCCCCTCCCTCTCCCAACCCTCTTGCCTCCTGTACCTCCCTCTTGGAACCTGCCCCCACATCCCCTGCCTCCCTCCTATTCCCCTGCCCCAGGTCACAACCTCCTGATTCCCTCCCCTGGGCCAGAATCCTTTCCTGCAACCATACCCCCTCCCAGACCCTGCACCCCCCCTGTATCCCAGGCCCCTGTCCCAGGTCACAGTCCCCTCCTTCATCCAATCTCCCTCCCCGACCCCACCCCGCCTCCTGTACCCCAGCGCTTTACCCCCAGCTCC